ACATAAAAAAGTAACCCATGAAACTTATTCTTCTAATGCACTCAAAATTAAGTAATTCCCATATGGATTTGTTATAATTTTATTCTATGATCAATAATTAAGTTTCCAGAGTCTAAAAGGCTATCCTGTTGACTTGAAATTCACTTCCTTTTTAAAAAAAAATACAATAAAATATACAATAGACATTTGATTAAGTTTCTTTCTCTCTAGGTCAGGATTTGTGACATAATTTTGAATTACAATGTATCTTCCTTGATGGAATTAAATTATGTAACTTATTTTAAGGAACTAAGCAAGAGTAGCATGTTCTAAAAATTTTAGCAAGCTATTAAATTCTTGTTTTAAAAATTCACTTTCATAAGTATATTAGAAAATGGGAATAAGGTACCTGGGCTCAGAAGAGGGTTAAAAAAAAAATCTTTATGCTAGCCAACTACACAAACAAAATAATGTGACTTTTATGAAAATTCTTTTTTCTTGCATAAGTCTTAATGGAGTTCTTATTTGTAACCCAAACTGTCAGAACTACAATTCTTGTAAAATAAAATTTCATTGTCTGACTGAAACAGCAGGCAAATTGGGAAAAATTTCTCTCATTAAAGCCTGACAAAAATGGCTGCAACTTATCTGTAACACCCAGGTTTTGTTATATGAAGCTAATTAATCAAAAAAATTGTTTTCTCCCATTTGTTCAAATTGAGAACTGTTCATTCAAATTTTGTCCATATAAGTCAAAAGAATAAATCACAGGGGTCCATCACCACCTCATGGATTTACTGTTGTCATTATTATTACCTGTGACTTTGTATTTGTAAAACAATAGGCTATTTTTTATAGATAGCAGTAATAAATAAAACATGTCTTATATGTGGATAAAATGACATAATACAACACTAAATGGCTCTGAAGACCAAGATACACAGTTTGGCAAGAGCCACAAAGAATACTGACCTTGTAACTGCCCAGAACAAGGGATATTACTATTTCAAAAGCCTATTCAGAGTTTTATCAGCAGAACATTCCAGGGCACACTCAATAAAGTTGTTTTAGAAAACTGTTATTCTAGATTTCATTTACAATTTTAAGAAAAAGGTTTGCACAGAGACTCTGTGCTAGCAATGTTTATCATTTCTAAAATGTGATTAGAAGCAATGTGACTTAAGGGAAGGTATGGTACTCATTGGATACCTGGTTTTAAAGATGTTTTCAAAAATGAAGTTCAGACAAGAAAACGTAAGAAAAAATATCTGACGCTGGATAAAAACATTCCCAAAACTCTGTACCTAGTTATTAGGTACCTGAGGAGCTGATATATATACAGGGTGATCAAGAAATCTTAATGCTGTCTGAAGCTTTAATAACAGTAAGACTGAACTAAGACTTTTGGAATGGCCACTATAAATTTGCTTCCCCCCCAAAAAAAAAAGGCTGATTATTTAAATTTTTAAAATATTGACAAATTTCCTACTAAAATTAAATATAACTATTGTGTTGCACAATAGGACCCACAAGAAAAAGTTAAATGGATAAAGATTAAGTAATCAAGATAACTAAGCAAAAGGATCACTTGTATTAATCCACTTGTCTGAGAGCATCTTCTAGAAATTGTCAAATATGCATAATGACAGGGTTCCCCATGTTGTTAAAATAAAAAAAAAATTCACAAAACTAAGTATAAAATTTTAAATAAACTATCAAATGATACATTTTTAAAGTTTATAACATTTATACTTTTGAAGTTATTAAAAACTTAAGACTGCACTAAGACATTAGGGACACCTTGTATATGTAAGAACCTCTTAAGGCCAAAAAAGATGGAATTGTTTGCCCAAAATCATACAGCTAGTTAGTGTCTCAGCTGGAAGTAGAACCCAGGATCTTCTAAGTCCAGTGTACTTTCAACTGTACCATGTTGTACTTGTTGAGTGAACGTATATGGAACTAAAAATATCTGTGAGAAAAAACACATATGCTTAAACAAGTATTTGACCACTGACTTTATGGAAGACACTATGCTGGTCAATTTTAGTGAGATACAAAGATGGAGTGTGGTATAGTTGAAGGTAAACTGGACTTAGAAAACCCTAGGTTCTAGGACTGGTTCTGACACTCACTAGCTGTGTAATCATAAGCAAATCACTTCATCTCTGAGACAACTAATGAAGCAGTGGATAGAGTGCTGGGCCTACAGTCAGGAACAACTGGATTCAAATCCATTCCCTGAGACTATCTGTGTAACCCTGGGCAAGTCTTTTAACTTATGTTTGAACTTATGTTCCCCAACAGTAAAATGGAGGTTAAGAACAGCACCTACTTCACAGGGTTGTTGTGAGGATCAAATGATCAAATGAGATAATATCTGTAAAAGTACTTAGGACAGAGTCAGACACATTTGTTGTTCTTTTGTCATTTCAGTTACGTTTGACGCTTTGGACCCTATTGGGATTTTCTTGGCAAAGATACTGGAGTGATTTCCTTCTCCAGGTCATTTTATAGAAGAGGAAACTGAAGCAAACAGAGTTAAGTGATTTGCCCCTGGGTCATACAACTAGCAAGTGTCTTGAGGCCAGATGTGAATTCACAAAGATGTCTCCCTGACTCCAAGCCTGACACTCTATCCACTGTGCCATCTAGCTGCCTCCTGGCATATAGTAAGTACTATATAAATGCTTATTTCTTCCTAAATGCTTATTTCTTTCCATCTTTTCACCCTCCCCATCCTGTGCCACAATATTTTCATATGCAAAATGAGGTTTTTGTTTTGCCATTCTAGATTTTAGGCATTACATATAGTCTCTGTTCTCAAGGCCTTGCCCTTTAGAACAGGAGCTAAGACTTGCACAGATACAAGACATTATAATAAAGTAGCATACAGATAGTACTGAAGTGTCCAAAATAGACAATGGGGATCCCAGAAGGTTTTGTTGAGGAAATCTGATATGGATCTTTAAGGCTGGATAGAATCTCAAAAAGAGAAGAGGACATTCCAGACAGGAGAAATTGCAGGGGAAAAACATAGAAGCAAATCAGTTAAATTAAACTAGAACTTATTAACAAGAGTGAAAGTCTGTTCAACTTGAGCTATGTCAAGACACTTAAGCAAAGACTTCAAAATAAGGGAAAAGCCATTTACAGCCCAGTACATCTGCCACTGTAGCTTCCTTCTTTTCAAATGACTGCTCCTCAATATAGCTCCCATCCCATAGCTTACCATTTCTCATCCTTGAGATGGACTGCTATGCCCCTGAGTATCAGAGGTCTCAACTATGACAGAACCAGGAGCCACTTAGCTGAATTTTTCCAAGGATATTAGGCTTGCAAAAATAATTGGAAAAGAACCAAAGGAAAGATTTCATCTAGTCCTCCATCTCCCCTAGCATTATTTGTTAAAAATTTTAAAAAGGGAAACTAAGGATTTCCTATGACATAGAACCTAGAAGTCACACTACCCTTATTCCTTCTGTCTTTCTATTTGGGTTATTGGACCAATTCACGTGAGTGGTAATGTTTACCAAGTTAGACGTCCAAGCAACATAGAAGAGAAAGATGAAAGGAAGAAAGCCTTTCAGTATAATCCTTCCTTCGGGTACTATTACTTCCTAATCACACGCGAATGCCAGCCAAACTGAACAACCTACTACTCCCCAAATTCACTCTATGGTTTCCTATCTTTGTTCTTTTGCTCCTGATTTCCCCTTTATCTTGAATGCACTCCCCCTCCAGCTGCACCTATTAAAAACCATTCCACCCCTTAAGGCCCAACTCAGATGTCATTTTTTTCATGAATCAATCACTCAATAAGCATTTATTAAGTTCCTACTTTGTGGAAGAAACCATCATTGATCATCTTAACCAGAAATAACTTCTTCCTGACAGGATCTTCCATAGTACATCATACCTCCTCTCTTAATAACTTACTTATGGTCATTTATGCTCCTGCTTTACCTCTACTGCTAGATTAAAACATCCTTTCATGGCAAGGACCACGTCTTCCACATAGTAAACATTTAAAAAACATGCGTAGAATGATGTTATGCATCTTTATTACCCCAGGGGCCTGACCCCAAAATAGATGTTGAATGAAGTGTTAATAGTGAAAACTGACAAGATGGAAGAGGTATAACAGAAAGAATATACTGAATCTGTTTTAAAGAAGTTTTTAAAAATTTAACAGTGAACTGAAAACTAATATATACATACAGGTAAATAAGTATTTTATATCTCTTATAGCACCGTATATGAATTTGTTAAATCTAAGAGCAACATAGTCTCTGTTAATATTTTAAGCTCATCAGAAAGAGCTATTTTACATAAATTTGACTGGTTTGAAGAGAATTTTTCCCCCATTGGTGCAACTACCACTGTACATGACGATTGGCTTTGCAGCTTTCAGTCTTAGACAGTTGCCTATGGAAGTGAACAGTTAAGTGACTTGCCCAGGGTCACAAGTCAAAGCCAATAAATATCAGGGACAGTATCTGAATTCAGGCATTCTTGACTGAGGCCAGCTCTCTGGCACATGCCTTTTGTGTAAGGTATTATGACATTATTTTCATTAAGGGAAGCACTATGCAATAAAATCACCAAGAGTTTCAAAATGACCACACTACTTTCCAAACATGAAATTCTATATGATAACCTTTATCAATATTTGGGAAAAATCAGTTTTATTCTCTAACCCACTCCACTTCAAAAATGCCTACTCTAAGTCTAATTACTCAGTTTTTTATATACCAGTTCTTGTGAAAGTAATCTATTTGAAAGTGTATTCTCCTTCTAAGTAAAAGGTCTAAAGTAGTAGTTATCAGTCTTTTCATTCATAAAGACTTTTTTGTAACATCAACAAATCTGATGACAATTCTCCCCCTCTGTATGTTTTGGTGGCATTAACTTTTGTCCCTGCAGAAGCTCTTAGAACCTTAGTTGACAATTTTCATATAAGATTTTTTTTTAAAGCACAAACTTTACTTTTACTATAATGGCTAACAGTGTTTTCTTACCGGCACTTCTCAAATTAGGGTCTAAGCCTGGCATCTCTTTGTTAGCTTCAGGACTAACACTGTAGATTGAGGCTCCTGCTTCATTGACAATGCTAGAAAGAAAAGATTGGAAAAAAGGACAGCAAATCATTGAAAATGAACACAAAAAAAATAAATATTCATGAAATAGGATCTTCTAGAGCATACCATACTTCCTCTCTTAACTACTTATAGTCATTTATGTCCTTGCATTACTCCAAAATACATGGAAGAAAAATCAGTTTCTATCTACATGAAAACACTCAGGAGCTCAATATTTGAAAATGACGATTTAACTAGATATGAGTATAAAACTCTTAAGTACATATGCAGTGTCCAGAAAGGTAAACCTGGATTCTAATACTGCCTCTTATAACATTTTTTATCTAGTTTCTGACAGCAGTACTAAGGGGATAATTCTGTATGAGAAAATAGCAGCAATGTTCTATGATGAAAATAACCATGATTTGAGTGAGAAGAGATAAGAAAAGTTGCCATCCTACCTGTCAATATGACCTTCAGTCATGCATTCATTTTAATCAACGGTCAATAAACATCTATTAAATACTTACTATGTGCCAGGCTCTGTGCTAAGCACTAGGGATACAAAGAAAGGCAAAATACAGTTCCTGATCTCAAGGAGCTCGTAGGAGAAATAACATGCAAAGAACTATATAAAAGTAAATTGTATGAATGTATGTGTGCATATGTGTGTGTATATGTATGTATATATATGCATACACACACATACACACACAAAAAGGATAAGTTGGAACAACATAGGGAAGGTGCTAGTATTAAGGCTTCTATAGAAGATAGCATTTTAGCTGAGACTTCAAGTGAGACAGAAGGCAAAGATGATGAGGGAGAGGATTCTAGGAATGGGGAGCAGCTAATAAGAACATGCAAATTTTTTCTGTTATTATTATTTTTAAAACTTTATTTATTTTTAGTTTTCAACATTCACTTCTCTAAGATTTTGAGTTCTAAATTTTCTCCCCTCCTCCTTCCCATCTCCCTTCCTTAAACTCCCCCCTCCCCAAGACAACATGTAATCTGATACAGGCTATACATATACATTCATATTAAATCTATTTTCACATCAGTCATGTTGTAAAGAAGAATTAGAACCAATCGGAAAAACCATGAGAAAGAACAAAAAAAGATAGAAAGAGCAAATAGTATGCTCTGATCTGCATTCAGACTCCATAGTTCTTTTTCTGGATGTGAATAGCATTTTCCATCATGAGTCTTTTGGAGATGTCTTAGATCCCTGCATTACTGAGAAGAGCTAAGTCTATCACAGCTGATCATCGCACAATGTTGCTGTTACTATGTACAATATTGCTCACTTCACTCAGCATCAATTTATTAAGTCTTTCCAGGATTTTCTGAAGTCCACCTACTCATCATTTCTTATGGAACAACAGTATTCCTTTACATTCACATACCACAACTTAGAACATCCAGATTCTGAAGAGCGTCTTTTTTGAGGAACAGCAAGGAAGGGGAAAGGGAACAAGCATTTCTTGTACTTTATAAATATTATCTCATTTGATTCTCATAGCAAAATGTAAGTGCTATTACTATCCCTATTTTACACTTGAGGAAAAGGTTAAGTGACTTGCTTCAGGTCACAAAGTAAGTGTAAGAGGCCAGATTTGAACTCCAGACACAGTGCTCTATCCACTGGGCCACCTAGATGCCTAGAATACTAATGTCACTGGATCACAGAGTATGTGGGGACAGTGAGGAGCATAAGATATAAGAAGATAAGAAAGGTGATGTGAGGGAAGGTGGAAGGAAGAGGTTATGAAGGAGTTTGATTACCAAATAGAAGATTTTACATTTGATCCTAGAGATAACAAGGAGCCACTGGAGTTGGGGGGGGGGGCGCCTGTAGGGAGGGAAAGGGGAGGTGTTGATATGGTAAAGTTGTACTTTAAGAAGATCGTGCAGCTCAATGGAGGATGAAGTGAAGTGGGGAGACATTTGTGGTATGGAGACTAACCAACAGACCATTGTAATAGTCTAGGCATGTATAACAATAACTCTACACAGTATAAGATACCTGAGAGCACAACTGCCAAAATAAACGCAGGAACTGTATGAACAAAATTATAAAAAAGTTTTACACAAATGCAATCATTTAAATACCTGGAGAAATATTAATTGTTCATGTGACAGCAGGGCCAATATAACAAAAATAACAACTTTACATAAACTAATTCATATATTCAATGCCATCCCAATTAAATTACCAAAAAGATATTTTACTGAATTAGAAAAAATAATAAAATTCATTTGGAAGAAGAAAAAGTAAATATCAAAGGAAATAATGAAAAGAAAATATATAAAGGAAGATGGTTTAGGAGTACCAGATCTTAAACTATATTATAAGGCAGTAATTATCAAAACTATGTGGCACCGTCCAACAAATAGAAAGGTAGATCAGTGATACAGGGTAGAAATACAATTTATAACAGCAAATAAATATCGTAACCTTATATTTGATATGTATAAAGATTTAAGTTTTGAGGATAAGAATTCATTCTTTGATTAAAAAAAATTGGGAAAACTGGAAAACACTACGGCAGAAATTGGGCATAGACCGATGTCTTACACCATTTACCAAGAAAAGGTCAAAATGGATACATGACCTAGATATAAAGAGAGAGATTACAAGAAAATTTGAAGAATATGGAACATATTACCTATCAATTACCTATTTATGAATAAACAAGAGGCAGAGAGCAAAGTTAGGTGCAAAATGGATACTTTCAATTACATTAAATTTAAAAGTTCCGTACAAATAAAACAAATGTAGCCAAGATGAAAAGGAAGGCAGAATATTGGGTATAAAAATCTCATAGATTCTCAGATAAAGGTTTCCTATCTCAAATATTTAAAGATTTTTGTCAAATCTGTATGAATATGAGTCATTCCCAAATTGATAAATGGTCAAAGGATATGAACAGGCAATTTTCCAATGAAATCAAAACAATTCATACTCATATGAAAAAAAAACACTCTAAATCATTATTAATTAGAGAAATGAAAATTTCTTGAGATATTTTGAGACATTTTACATCTATCAGATTGGCTAAAGTAAGTGAAGGGGAAAGTAACAAAATGATGGAGGGGATGTGGAAAAATTGGGACACTAAGTCACTGCTGGTGGAACTGTGAACTGATCCATTTTGGAGAGCAATCTGGAATAATCCCCAAAGAGTTATTAAACTGCCTGTACTCTCCAAAGATGATTAGGGAAAAAAGGAAAAGAATTTATATGTTCTTTGTGGTGGCAAAGAACTGGAAATTACAGGCATGCCCATCAATTGGGGAATAGCTAAACAAGTTGTGGTATATGCTAAAGATGGAATACTACTGTGCTATAAGAAATAATGGGCTCAGTGATTTTGGAAAAATATGAACAGACTGGCATGAAATAATGAACAGCAAAATGAGCAGAACCAAGAGAACATTGTACATAGCAGCAGCAATATTGTTTTAAGAACTCTGAATGACTAAGGCATTTGACTATCATATATACCCAAATTAACTACAAAGAACTTATGAAGGAAGACACTATCTATGCATGCAGAGAAAGAATTGATAAACAGAAGTATGTATGGAATGATTTTACATATATATATATATATTTGCATCTAATAGTAGCCATCTTGGGGGGCAGGGAGTTGAAGAGGTAGATAAAAAAAGGGAAAAAAGAAAATACAGTTACATGATAACTTTATAATATATTTAAAAGGAATAGCAAGTTGTACATAATAAATCTGCAGTTTCATGTGCAAAAAAAAAAAATAGTCTAGGCATGAGGTGATAATGACCTATACCAGTGATATTAGTATCAGAGGACAGAGGAGCATATCTGAGAGCAGTTACAAAGGCAATTGTCAAGCCTAAGCAGCAGACTGGCTATGAAAGGTAAGAGAGTTGAGGACAAAATCTAGTTTGTGAGCCTAGGGGACAAGACACATAGTATCTTCAACAGTAAGAGGGAAGTTAAGAAGAGGAGAGGGTTTGAGGGGAAAGAGTTCAGTTTTGGACATGAGTTAAAATGTTTACTGCATGTCTAGGTTGAATGTCCAACAGGCAGCTGGAGATGAGAAACTGGAAACTGAACAGAGAGGTTAAAGCTGGATAAGAATTTTTAAGAATGATCAGCAGAGAGATAACAATTTAATCCAAGGGAGCTGATAAGATCTCCAAATAATACAAAGGGAAAAAGGAAAAGGGTACAAGACAGACCCCTGTGGGACACCTATAAGTAGTAGGTATAACCTAGATCAAGATGCAAAAGAAGACTGAGAAGTTTTCTGATAGGCAAGAAGAGATTAAGGAGAAAACAGTACAAAGACACCCTAGAGAGAAAAGGAGCATTAAGGAGGAGAAGGTGATTGACAGTGGCAAAGACTGCAGAGAGGTTGAGAAGAATAAAGACTGAAAAAAAGGTCACTGGATTTGACAATTATGAAAACATTGGTAACTTTGTAGATGGCCATTCTGGTTGAATGACAAGATCAGAAGGCAGACTGTAGACAGTTAAGAAGAGACAGAGTAATGGAGGCGCCTATTGTAGAAGACAAAAGGCAAGATAGCTAATGGGGCCATAGCAGGGATGGAACAATCAAGTGAGAGTTTTTTGAGGAAAGAGGAGACATGGGCAAGCTTGCAGGTAGTAGGGAAGCAATGAGTAGAGGAGGAATGTTTGAAGTGAGAGAATGAGGATGACAGAGTGGGTAATCTTATAGACAAGACAGAATTGAATCACTTGTGCATATAGAGGGTTTGCCTTAACAAGAAGAGCCACCTCATTATGTGCACAGGGTTGAAGGAGGATATAGTGGCAGAAGGCATCTGAGTGATGTGAGATGAAGACAATAGGATAAGAGGGATCTCTAAGGGAATAGCCTCAATTATTTGAGTAAAATATGAGGCAATATTATCAGCTAAGAGGATAGGTGGATGGGACTTTTGAGGACAGATAAAAAAGTTTGGAAGACTGTGGTGAGATAGTGAGTTCATCAGGGAAGTATATAAAAGAATGGCCTTG